TGGCTGGAACTTGAGCCCCGCCCGCCGTGAGGCTTCTGAGTGGAGCTGGAGCCAGTCAGAGGCCAGAGCCTGGATGCCGGAGCAGTACCCACCTGCCAGTGTGCCCACAGGAGCTACAGGTGACTGCAGGTGACTAGCCCTGGAAGCCATAAGTGACTGGCAGCAGTGAGCAGTTTCTCAGGGAATTTTCCTACCCTGTCCTCACTAACTCTGATGACTGCTTCCTACCCGGTGGGAGTGCCCTTCTAGCACTTTCGGGGCTGCCAGTTGGCTCTAGTTGCTGTGAAAGATGGGGCCCCGTAGGCCTGAGGACCCCGTCCAGATAGTCTTGATCAAGTTGTGGCCTTTCCTGTCCCCCAGGCAGGTCACGGGGCCCAGGCTGCATGAGCTCACTTCCTCCACATCCTGTGTTATCTCCTGCCTGTAGCTGCAGGGTGGGTAGTAAGGGAAATGCTGGGAACTGTTTTCCAGTGCCTGGCCGCCCTAGCATATTTCCTCAGTTCTGCCTCCTAGGGCTGGGGCACTGGGTACCTGAGGAAGAGGGAAGCTGCCCTGTTCCTCAGAAAGGCCCATAGGTGTTGAAACTTGTCACTGTGTCACCATCCAAGGGCTAAAGAGAGGATGTTGTGCTGCCTTTTTTCAGAGCCTTTTTCCTTACAGGTTCCATAGGCGTTTCTTTTCTTTGGGAAATTAAAGAAGATCCCACTTCTACTCCTTCCCCTTCCTTGATCCCCCTGGGCCACTGACTCTTATAACAGGTGCCTCTGGGCCCTTCTGTTTGCTCCCTCTTCTCTTGCCCTTGGCTTTCCAAAATGTCTCACCCTTTTGTCCAGGGAGAATACATTTTCCCATCCCCTATGCTTGTGAAGTTCTGTCCACATCTAGCCCTGAAATGTGAGGGAGGAGGGCGTGGCTACCTCACTGGACACAACTGCCAGATGAACTGGGGAAGAAGTGGTACCAGGCCTCCAGAGTAAGGGAGTGTACAGAAAGTAGATGGGTAGATATATGGTAGATAGGTCATTTGGAGCATTGGAGGTTTGTCCTGAGGCTTTAGGAAGGAATGACCCTAGCCCCAGGGAGATTTCCACCAGGGAGCAGGAGCCAATTCTCAGGATGTCTCTGGCCAGAAGGCTGAAGCTGCAAAGCCCCGTGTGGTCAGGGAGAGCTTTGGGAGGGTGGTTGACTGGCATTCCCATTCCCCTCACTGCCTGCCCTTCCAACCCAGGCTTCAAATTGGAATCCACCAAGGTCTGAGCTAACCAGGTCAGGAACAGCTGTGCACACCTAAATCACCCAGTCTCACACATGTGCACAGTTCCACATAATGCCTATACTTTCCCATCCATGCCCACAGTAACTGATAACTGGCCTAAGCCATTCAGCCAGCTTCGGTTGGAATGTTCCATTCCACTGGGGAGTGGGGAGGCAGTGAGGTGATAGAGATATGGCAGTGCTGCTCAGGTATATGCCCTCAGGATAGTATGTCCTCCACCTACTCCCACATGGTTGCATTAATCATGCTTCCTATCCCATTTGGGCTTCCCTTTCTGAACTGCTCTAAGCCCCTGCTTGCCCTTTATCAACGTTTGACCTCCTAGAGTGCAGATTTGCCTTTCTGGAGCTATAGTCAACTATCAAGAAGCCCGGGAACAAGGGTAGGAGTGAGGGCTTCTGAGCAGTTGTTCTAGTCCATGGTTGCAGCTGTGCTGTGAGTCTCAAGGGAAGTAGGTGAAAGATACTTTTATTCCCATTTCTGAGATGAAGAAACTGAGACCCAGAGAGCACTTGTGACTTGTCCTGCTTTCTGCAGCTCTTGGGGTGAATTTGGGGGCAGGGGGCAGGCAGGATTACAGTGACCAGATTGTGGCCTACCACAAAGCCCTCTGAGTTCTCACATTCTAGGTGACTGGCCTTTAGGCCATGTAATACCTTTAAAGTTCCACTCATCACAGTCAGAAACTCACCTCCACAGAAAAGTGCTTGACTCTCAAAAGGGAGGGAAGGTGTCAGCACTTCCCTATCTCAGGGCTCCCTCCTTGCGCAGTTCCTCATCTAGGGTCTGAGCACTCAGGGTCCAGGGAGGGTGAAATCTCTGGCTTGGGGCCCAAGGGTTGTTCCAGGTAGAGGACAAGTGGGACTCTTAAATGGGGAGCTGGAAACACTGCTGGCCAAAAAGTAGCTCTGCTTTGGGAGGTGGGAAGGCAGTAATAATCTGGACAGACAGTGCCTGTTTGTTGGGGGAAAAATAAGTTTATTCTGCTCCCTTTGGGAACTTTCAGATGAAGGAACTCTAATACCCTGGTCTCAGTGTACCATTTTAGAAGAAGAAGTAGAATAGTGATAAAGATAAGGACCTTCTGCCTGTCCCTTCCCTGGTGGTGGGCCAGTGCAGATTTGGTGTCTGGATTCTAAGGCTTTTAGAGTCCCTACAGGGAAGAATGTCTCTCCTCATGCTGTTCTCCTTGAGCTTCCTCCTCTGTAGCAAGAGGAACCTGGGCCTGCCCCATTTCAGTGTGCCATCCAGCCTGACCAGACTCCGGGCTTTGTAGGTCTCCAGTCTAAAGCATCCTGGAAGGGAGGCCTGACTGGTCCTCCAGAGCTGTAGAGAATGAAATGGAAGGTTCCCACAGGAGTCAGAACCTGTGGACTTTGACCAGGTTTAATTTTCATACTTGTGACTTTCTGACACATTCTGTGCTGTCATGGTTAGGATACCATATGGTAGGTCAGTGAGGGAAAACTTGGCAGGAGGCTGAGACTTCTGGGTCTTCTCCTTTTCTCCCATCCCACAAGATCACACTTGCCTCCCCATGAATCCTGGGTGTGCTTAGCTCCTCTGCTCCTAGTCTGTACTTTATAGAGCAGGGAAAGAGCCACCTCTGTAGATCTAGGCACCAGTCTCATGCCAACTGCCCATCCTCTCCTTGGGCCTGTTTCCCTGTCCAGTTTGAAGCCTGTGGGCCAGGGAGGATACTTGTGTGCCCAGTTCCATGGCAGAATAGTTGAAGTGACTTTACCATTGTGGATGGGAATGTTATTGGGAGGCTCACATGAGCCTGAGGCAGAAACAGGGTGTCCATGGAACCCTGGGCCTGGTGCTTAGGACAGGATGGGGCTCCCAGGTTTGTGTTGATCTGGTGCTAGCATCTCTCCAAGGAGGAGGCTCAGGTACACTGTTTGCTGGGTGAGGCCTGGCCCAGCCTACAGTAAGCTGTCCTTCCCACTCAAGAGTGGGTCTGGGGGAGAAAGGCACCTTTGGAGAGGGGGTGAGATTGGACCAGGCCTCACCATTTGTTTTATCAGGAGGAGAAACCCATTCTATGTCCAGACCTTAGTTGCCTTGTTGTCCCACCTCCCAGAGGACACTAGCATATCAGAGGATTCTGTGGCTTTTGTGGGCAGGTGTCAGGGATGGAATTTTTATGTGTCTGGCTGAGGTGGGTTTGTTAGGGCAGCACATGTTCATCCTTGTGTGGATAGAGTGACATCTGAGTTGGGGCCTTTCATCTTTGTTACAGTGTGTTGGCCATGCCAGCTGGCCCTTGCTTGGGTCTATTCTCTGCTTTAGGCAGGAGCTCTTGAGGCCTGCATTCTTCCATTCAAAGATGGTGACAGGAGCCTGTTTCCTTCCAGGGCTGTGGTTGAGACTGGAGCTGAAAAGATGTGGGCTCCCAGTCAGCCCATGTCAGCCCACCTCGGACTACCTCCCTGGGACTTTGAGCACCTTGATTGCCCTGAGCTGAGATGGCAACAGCTGTGGAATGTTTGTTCTTCTAGTCCTGTTATCTGTGTAGTGGGAAGGGTTTTCTCAGGTGAGGTGTGTCCTGCAGATAGTCAGGGAGGGGCCTGGCCAAAGTGCTTTTCTGAAGCAAAGATGGAAAAAGCAGAGTGGTATGGGCTTCAGTCCTGGTCACTTTCCAGCCCCAGGTTGGTTTTCCCTGAAGCCCACCCAGGTACACAGTTTTTGAGGAGGCTTGGATAGGGTCACAGCCAGGTATGGGGGCTCTGAGACTAAGAGGGGTGAGGAGATAGCCAGAGCAGACTCACGCTTAGGTTGTTACCATGGTGCTTTGTCTGCTTGCCTGATCCTCTTGCTCCTCAGACGCTACTTTGTAACCTGAATCAAAAATGGGTCAGGTCCTGGTGAGGGAGGAGACTCTGCCTTGAGCTCAGGGCTCAGATTCCCACCTGTGCTCTTGGGGCCTAGAAGCCCTGGCAGTCTCCGGACCCTGTCTGCCATGGTTCGCTGGAGCATGAAGCCCCAGGGCCTTGCATACATGCTGCCCTCCTGGCAGAGCTAAGGGAGTGGGTGAGCTGGGCAGACTGGCTTAGCCCAAGGCAGGAGGGACCAGACAGGTGGCCATACCCTGTGGGACTGAGTGGGCTGAGTGCAGGGGCTTCTGCTCTGGGCAGAAGCCTGAGCCGGTGTGACAAGTGCTTGTCTGTTTGCAATAGCTCTGACCCTCTAACCTGTGCTCTGTGAGCCACCGAGACTGAACCAAGTGGGGAAGCTACACCACCAGCCACCAGTGCCCCTGGAGCAGTGACAGCGCAGGAGATTCTCTGGCGTGGGGGGAAGGGGAGGAAGGAGGAAAAACAAAGGCGAGTGAACGAACGAGCGAGCGCAGAGAGCCTTGCACCGCCCTCCCTGTGCCTGCCCACGATGTGTCAGTCAGAGGCGCGGCGAGGACCAGAGCTCCGAGCAGCAGCGAAATGGTGAGATGCTGTCCAACGCGTCCTAACCCCACTGTTCCCCGCCACAACCTCCGGAAGGTCAGAGTTCATGTCCAACGGCCCCGAAGTGGAGGTGGCAGCAGGGGGCCCCGGGGCCAGCCCCCACAGCTGGAGGGACCCAGCGAGGGGGGCCTGAGTGCACTGAGTAAGAGAGCTCGCTTCAGGTACCTGCGGTTAGGGTTGCAAGGAGAGCTCAGAGGTGGGTGGGGTGGGGGTGGGGATCAGTCACCTGGCTTTGGAACTAGTGTCTTGGTCTTTATTCAGAGATGCCTGAGAGAAGGGGCTTTCCTGTAGCTCTTCCAGGATTGGTCTCTGCTCTTCTGCAGTGAGCAGGGCGGGGGAACCCTGTGGGAGAGCAGTGATTTGTTTGTCTTTGCTTGGCCCCTTCCACCTCCCTAGACTTTTTTAAAAAGCATAATGGAAAAAACTGTCCACAGTGGAATGGGAGAGAAAAAGAAAGCAGGGCATCAGGTGAGCTGTGGGGACACAGTTGCCTGCAGAGACTGGAGCCCTGCCTTCTATCATCTCTGATTGAACTAAGGGGCCTTCCCCTTGGCTTAGGTCTCCATTTGTCCTGCTCTTACTCTCAGCTGAGACACCTCTTTGTTCTTGGTTTGCTTAGCACCTGGGTGACAGAGAATGCAGCTTCTCTTGGAGAGTACACAGTCAGAGATGGCAACCTTAGATTGTCTATTGAATGCAGTCCTTTTGCAGATGAGGAAACCAAGGCCTGGGATTATTTTGAGTGGGTAGCAGTGTGGTCTCCTGATAGCTACACTGCAGCCTCAGAAGTATTTTCCGGGGCCTAGGTATGTGACAAAGGGACTTTGTTGCAACTAAGGAGATCAGGGTTCTGGTGGAAGAGCCCATTCCAGCCACTGCAACTCCTGCAAAGCTGAGCCTGTGCCAAATTTGTGCTGGTGGTACACTGGGGAGTGTGTATGTACCAGCTCAGATTTGCTGAAAGGAGGAACCTGTATCTTGTGTGTGGCTCTAGTAGGAAGGTGGCTTGAGAGCTTGGGGTGAGGTTCTCCCTATAAAGCTGTATATGGGTTTTGGAGAACCTAACCTGCTGGAGAAAGACTATGCAGGCTGATGGAGCCACAACTTTAGATCTTGGCTGGCCCAGTCCTTTTAATTTACCAGATAAGGAAACAAGAGGCCTGGAGCCATGAAGAGATTTTTCCCAGGTCCTGTAATGAGCAAAAGACTCATGAACGGCCACCTAGCTGACCAGGTCAAAGCACTATGCATTGCTATGCTGATTAACTCTGTCCTTCTGGCCCTTGTGTGGGCAGAGCTGTGCCTGAGTCCCATGCTTATTGGCCATGGGAAGCTGGCAAATATGAGGCAGGCCTTGTACCTCCCTTCCCCATTTTGGCCCCAAAGGTTCTTTCTGGAGCCATTTCCAATTTCAGATACTCAATCTTCTCAGATACCCAGGAATTGGGTCTAACCCTCCTGCATCCTATAGCTTCCCAATCCTAGTCCTCAGCTAGCTGTCAGGTGGGAAAGACTGGGAAATATGTCTGTTATATAGTGGTATCCAGGTCCCCAAGGGGATACTGCAGTGCTTATTGGACTCTGGTGCTCCATGGAGAGGCAGTGATCAAGGGAGGGGGTCATTCCTGGGTCCCTCTGAGACCCCAGCTTCTGACTCTGCATGGACATGTGCCCTGCAGGTTGCACTTCCCCCAGCTGGCCCTGCGAAGGAGGCTAGGCCAGCTGAGCTGCATGTCCAGACCTGCCCTGAAACTGCGCTCCTGGCCCTTGACTGTTCTCTACTACCTCCTGCCCTTTGGTGCTCTCAGGCCACTCAGCCGGGTGGGATGGAAGCCTGTGAGCAGGGTAAGTGTGCACAGGCCTCTGTGGCCCAACCCCTACCCCTGGGCAGGCCTGAGGTTGGGGTACAGGGGAAAACAAGGGGACCAGTTGTCAGAAGTAGAGGCATGGCTGCACCCTTTCGGGGTATAGTATGGGAAATTTCGTAGGGAAGACAAAGGCAACTTTTGAGAAGGCCAGGTTAACCAGTGGCCATGTGTACTGTAGTAAAGTGACTGAACACTCACTGTCCACTGCCTGCTATCCTTGCTTGCCTCACTGGTGCTATTGGGGAGCTCTGGTTCTGGAAGGAACTTAGACTGGGCAGTCAGAAATTAGCGTCTCTGACTTTCAAGCTTATAAGCAGTTTTTAAGAAGAATCCAGATAAATTTCTGGATATCAGAGGGTAGTTCAGGAAGGCTGGAGCCTGTTTGGGCCCATTAGTGGGAGGACACACTTGAGAAACTAGAAGGCTGTGCAAGTGCCTGCCCTGCACAGGACTCTTTAATGGGTACCTGGAGGGCTCTCTTGCTTCCTGGCAGACCAGCCCCAAGGAGGAGTCCCTGTTCCTGGGCCATTGATAACTTGGGGGTGGGCATCATGAAAATTTGAGGGTGGTGCAGTACACTGGACATTAGACCAGACTCCAACCTGTTCCTGAGAATAGCCTGGCATTACAGCAACCCAGGGCCAGGCATTACAACCATTACAACCTAGCCACTCCAGGTGGCTAGGCATCACTTGGAAGGGGAAAGAATAATGCTCAGGGAGCTACTAATTCACTACTTCATAAAGGTATTAAAAGTTTTTACACCTTAGGAAGTTGCTGCCTGGTTGCATCCAGATAAGCAGTAGCACCAGTCAGAAGCAGTTTCCCCTGGGGCAGTGGCCCCTTAGGTTTAGTGGCCCTGCAGGAGGGCTCTGGGGCCCCAGTGTGTGGGACTGGCTCCAAAAAGTGATTCTCCTCTGCCTCCTTGGAGACCACAGGTAGGCAGCTCTGTGGACTGGCTTAGGCACAGAATGCTTCTGATGTAAGGTCTGCCGTCAGGCCCAGTGGAGCCCAGCAGGACAGGCCATCTTGAGTGCTGGCTAGGCCTGCAGGGCATCTCAGGACACTATGACATTGATACAGTATATGCATCTGAAAATGTCCTCTTTTCCTTTTAAGAAAGAAGATATATACTTTGGGCTATAAATCTGTCTGTGCTTCTGGGAACCTTTTACTCCTTTCTCAAGTGGTCTGTAGTGTAGGCAATGACCCCAGCCAAAGTCAAATGCCTATTGCCTCCTGCCAGTCTTCTCCAGACTATTACCAGGATTCCTATCTCCCATTTTTTCTTCTTTTCCTGTTTTTGGGGGGGTGGGGTACTGGAGATTGAACCTAAGGGTGCTTAACTGCTGAGCCACGTCCCTACCAGCCCTTTTTATTTTGAGATTGGATCGAAGTTGTTTAGGGCCTCTCTTAAGTTGCTGAAGCTGGCCTCAAACTTAGGACCCTCCTGCCTCAGCATCCAGAGTTACTGGGATTATAGGCATGAGCCATCCACTCCTGGCACCACCTCTCACTTTTAAGAAGTGAGACTGTGTGGACCAGTCTACTTTTCTGGGTCTAAGACAGTTACTCTTTGACCTGTGCAAAGTGATTAAAGTGACCTGAGCTCTGTACATCCTGTCTTCAGTCTGTGAGAATATTTGACAAGTGCAGTCTGGTTCCTAGTGACACAGCCACATCATAACAATCAGCCCCAGGCAACTAGGCCTCCCTAGGTAGCCTCTGTTGGTTCAAGTTCTCTCCTGTGGTTGGGGGATGATGACAGTACTTGGGCTTTTTGGAGTATGGTCAACTCAGCCCCCTGCCCTGTGGCCTGCAGGTGGCCCTGTACAAGTCAGTGCCAACACGTTTGCTGTCACGGGCCTGGGGTCGCCTCAACCAGGTGGAGCTGCCGCACTGGCTGCGCAGGCCTGTCTATAGCCTGTACATCTGGACCTTCGGGGTGAACATGAAGGAGGCCGCTGTGGAGGACTTGCACCACTACCGCAACCTCAGCGAATTCTTCCGGCGCAAGCTGAAGCCACAGGCCCGGCCTGTCTCTGGGCTGCACAGTGTGGTGAGGTTTAACTCATACCTCCTCTTCCTCCTTTAGGAAATGGGATCTATATCTATGGAAACCAGGTTCAGCAGCCCCCACTGGCTGTGGCCTCTGTGTGGCTTTCCCAGACTCGGTCCCACCTGCCGTATAAAGTTTATTTGTCCTGCATATCCAGAGGGTGGAGCTATGGGTGTTTGACACAAGATGAGGTGGATGTCAACTAGGGGGAGCACTCTCCCTTTCCAGCAGCAAACCTCTCCTGGTCCCTCCAGATCAGCCCATCGGATGGGAAGATCCTCAACTTCGGGCAGGTGAAGAACTGTGAGGTGGAGCAGGTGAAGGGGGTCACTTATTCCTTGGAGTCATTCCTGGGCCCTCGCACCTACATGGAAGACCTGCCTTTCCCACCAGGTGGGTTACTGCACTGTTGGGGCTGGGGCAGACACCAGAGGCTAAGGAAAGGCTGTGGGACAGGGAATAAGGAAAGGCTTGGGAGACTGTGGGGTGGGCATGCTGGCACATTGGATCAGGAATCCCTCTGACCAAAGCATTGAGGCTCTTGGAGTCCATGTCCAGGCTGCACATAGGCTGTGCTGGATTCTCATGAGCTGGGTGGCACCTGGAGCTGGTATTAGAGCCTGACCCTCTTTTCTGCCCTACCCCCACAGCCTCTTCATGTGACTCCTTCAGGAACCAGCTGGTTACCCGGGAAGGGAATGAACTCTACCACTGTGTCATATACCTGGCCCCTGGGGACTACCACTGCTTCCACTCACCCACTGACTGGACTGTCTCCCATCGGCGCCACTTCCCAGGTAGACATAGGACTGGCCTTTGGGTTGGAGCTGCCTCTGTGGGCTTCATGCTGAGGTCCTCACTTTCTTAATGTTAGGAGACTAGGCTCCAGGCTGGGGTTATCTAGACCAGGGGTTAAACACTTAAGGTTGGCTGGGTATGGGCAGGGGACTTTGGAAAACTGGTCTGCATTTGGAATGACATCAGGGCAACAGGCCATTAGTCCCTTTGGGTCTCAGGCTATCCTGGGGTAGATATACCAGGCTCTGGGGAAGGACTATCATGTTCCCTACCCCCACAGGCTCCCTGATGTCAGTGAACCCTGGCATGGCTCGCTGGATCAAAGAGCTCTTCTGCCATAACGAACGGGTAGTTTTGACAGGAGACTGGAAACATGGCTTCTTCTCGCTGACAGCTGTGGGGGCCACCAACGTGGGCTCCATTCGCATCTACTTTGACAGGGTAAGCAGAGTCCAGGCCATGCCAAAGTCCACAGGCTGGACTTCTTGAATTCACTTGCTCCATCTGCTGTCCAGCCAGATCCACTGGGCCTGTAAATTTTAGGAGGGCCTTGCTTGTAGGAGAGCTAGAACCAGGCCTGGCTATGCTGAGCATCCACTCTGAGGGGCATCCCTATCAGTTAAGACCTTCTCTCCTTCCCTCCCACCCACTTTGCTGCCACTCATTCCTCTGGAAGTGGCTGGGGAGGAGAGAGGAAATTAACCTTTCTGCCTGGCCCTTTACTTTTACTGGGAACCATGGTTGAAGTGTGAGGAAGGAACAGGAATGAGTCATGCCAACTGAGGGTTGAGCATGTAGGCAGAGCTGGCCTGAATGAAGAAAGAATCTGGTGCCCACCTGCCCAGGGCTTGCCTTTTTGGGTGTGCCCAACTCCCCACCACTGGCTGCTGACCTTGTACCATTCCAGCTGGGAGAAAAGTCAGATCTGATTTCTCCATGTCCCTCTTAGCCACAGTTCATAGCAGGTGCAAGGACTTTGGTGTGATCTGGTTGGACTAAGCTCCCCAACCCTGAGATATTGTCCCCATCACCCTTCTTGAGCTGGGCTGGATGGTGGTGAAAATGAGCAACAGGATTCCAAACACAGGCAGGAGTGGTACCCCTTGCTTCTAGGCCCCCTTCAATCCCTGCCCCATTACTCCTCCCCAGGACCTGCACACAAACAGCCCAAGGTACAGCAAGGGGTCCTACAACGACTTCAGCTTTGTGACGCACACCAACAAGGAGGGAGTCCCCATGCGCAAGGGTGAGCATCTGGGCGAATTCAACTTGGGCTCCACCATTGTGCTCATCTTCGAGGCCCCCAAGGACTTCAATTTCAGGCTGAAAGCAGGGCAGAAGATCCGCTTTGGGGAGGCTTTGGGCTCCCTCTAGGTCTTCCTTCTGCCTACGACTGCCAATGCATCTAAGGGAACTAAGGGTCTTTTATAGAAGCCTCCAGGGTGTCTAGGCAAGGGAATCACCTCAGGTGTGTGTGGGAAGGTCGATCCAGTAGAACCTGAATGATTTGCTACTGCCTGTCCCAGAGGTGCAGACAAGAGATTCTGAATCCTCACGAGGCAGCCAAAACCCGTCATGCCTGTGACCTACCCTACAGAGAGAAAAAGTATAGGTGTGGATAACCTCACAATCACATCTGGATCTTTTTTAAATGTTGTATAAACTGGAGACTCTTCTCTCCTGGTTGGTCTTGGATATTGTTAGGCGATGCTAAGTGCGAACATGCCCTCTAGCCATTCCTCCCCATAACTGGAGAGTTTTGTTGGACCCTTTGGCTTTTTCTGGTCTTGTCCCTCTTGTCCCTTTACCTCCCATAGTGCACAGGATGAACTGCCTCTTTGGCATGGATTGTGGACCCTCCCTCCCAGAGCAGGCCACACAGACTTCATGACAACTATTTTCTGTTCCCAAACTTGCCTCACCCTGCTTGATGGAAAAGCAAAATCTTTCTTTGCATTTGGGGCTTGACTGCATTGCTCTGGACTCTTGCCGGGATCTTCTGAGGATGGTAACTATGACACGGACCTTTCTAGGCCCTGAGGAGTGACCTTCCAGAGCTTCCTTGCAGCAGGCAAGGCCAATTACTGTCCCACCTGGTGGCTAGGCTGAATGGGGCAGGCAGGAGGGGTAGAAGCCTAGTTTGAGCTGGCATCGCTGTTTCCAGATCCAGCTCTACATGAAGTATGGGAAATTGCTGTTGTTCCAAGGACTGTGTTGGAGGCTAAAGGTGTATGGTGGGTCAGTACTAGAAAACCTGTCCCAGGTGACAGGTATGTAGGCCTTGAGCAGTGGTGGGGACAGTCAGGTTACCTGTTGTTCCTGTGAATTTCTCCTCCAGGGGAAGTCATTGAATTTTTTCAACTGTATCAGTAGCACAGTATTTTTGTATGAAAAGTGGGAGACTTCTGAACAGTAATTCATTTAATTGCAAGACATTTTGAAATAAAAAGCTTAAAACTCATTGTAGCTTTGCATTGTTCCTGGAGGTGGCTTGAGGCCTCCCCTGCAGCAGGGCTCCTGTCTTCCTGGGGTGAGCCCACTAGCACAGAGCCTGCCGCAGGGCCTGGATGCGCTCAACGCAGGTACTGATGTGTTGGCGCTGGGCCTGGAGCTCCTTGGCCAGCTGCTGGATCTGTAGTTCTATCTGGGGGTAGGGAGAAAGAGGCCCAGCTGAGAGGGAGCACAGTCTGGGGGACTGTCCCTGGAGCTGGTCTAGGGTCTCACCTCTTCTAGTTCTTTCTGCACTCGTTGCTCTTCATCCTGGTCCTCAGGCCTGGGCTCTTCCTGGCTCAGCTCCAGCCACCTACGCAGGCTACTTGCTTGTCGCTGGCAGGACCTGATGGGGACACCCTGCCTGCTTGGATCTTTTTTCTCTTGGGTTCTGGAGATTGAACCCAGGGGTACTCTACCAACTGAGCTACCTTTTTTTTTGGAGATGGGGTCTCACTATTGGTGTGACACCAACGCTGGCCTCAAACTTGTAACCCTCCTGCCTCAGCCTCCCAAATAGCTGGGATTACAAGAGTGCACCACCACTCTTGGCTTGAGTTTGGGTTCTCGGCAGTCTTCTGATGTGAGGATGGGTTGGAGGGAGAAACTTCTGGAAAGGCTCCCTTCTCTGAGCTGCAGGCCCTGGCTTGGGAGGCCAACACTTTTTTTCTCTCCCAGCCTTCCATGACCTTCTATAGCAAACAGCAACTCTTCCTATTCCTCTTTCCCAGTGATGAGATGAACAAGGGGACCAGTCTGTTTTCCTCACATTTCTTAAACTGCTGCATATTGACAGTCCCCAAACCACTATGTGCAGATGAGACCCAGGCCTATCCGTCCTCTGATACCTTATCAGCTTTACAATCACAACCACTAGAGAAGAAAGCCAGAACCCAACCAGGACCTGTGTCCCACAGTAAGGCCATCTTGGGTTTTCCCAAGCAGGACTAATTGGGGGAAATGTGCTACAGTGAGACACGTTCCTGGTAACACACACTGGTTTGGCCCCTACCACACACTTGTGGGTCCTGGCAGCTGGCTGGCAGGAAATGGAACCTTCTGCCTTCCCAGGGCACACCTTTTCTTAAGGACAAGTCCAAGGGTGCATCCCCCAGGCCTCACCACAGGTTCTGTTTGGTGTTCTGGTAGTGCTGTAATTGCTGCTGGATCCCCTCCAGTTCAGTCTCAAGGTTGTTGTGGCCTGTGACAACAGAATGAGCTTTCCATCTTCTCTCTGGGACCAGGACGGGTGGCCACTCCAAGGTGAGTGCCCACAGCCCTGGCAGGCCCCTGGTACTCACCGGCACTTCCAGAACTAAGCCCAGGCCCAGCCTTGATGCCTGTGAAGTCCCCAGGCAGGAGCAGATGGGAATCAGGGCCACTGGCCAGAGATGGGGGACCCTGGGGCTTAAGCCCAGTGTTGGTAGGCTGTTTTAACACCTGTAAAGGAAAGGAGGATGCTGACAGTAAATCCTCTTCTCCCTGTCTCACTACCTGCTGCCCACTCTACCCCATAGGAGTCAGGGTGACTAGGCCCTGTCCCTTTCCCTGCCTGCTGGACCTGACATAATGGGTCAACCTCCACACCTTTACAGTGTCACCCCCTGCATGAGAAGCTTCTTAGCACTATCAGCAGCAGACTTTTCAAGCCTGGCTTGGCCTTCTAGCCCCACCTTGCTCTGGACTTCTGACCTTGCTAAACTTGGATTTCAGTAACAGTGGTCACAGGCAATTATTCTCCCTGTTTCACCCACACCTGCCTCTACTCTCTCCCATGAAGAGAAGAAGAGTAGATGTGCACCTTCTATCATTGCCAGTCATGGAAGACCACCCTCTGGACCGCCCCCACCCCCAGCCACGGGGTTGTGACACACCACAGGGTTGTGACACACAAGAAGTGGCTCTATCCCCACCCTGCGCCTTTTGGGCACCAGCTTTTTGGGTGGCCTGACCCTGAGACTGTCACTTCTACTATGCCCTCTGGTGCTCTCAGCCCTTGCTACTTGTGTCAAGGTTCTCTACGTAAGCCTTCTGCCCCACTCTATGCTCTCTCAGTGGTTCCCAGGGGTTCACCTTCAACCTCTGCTGAGGACTTCCAATCTAGATTTCAGTCCCTGACCTCTTTCCCGAAGGCCAGACAATCTTGCTTTCTCTCAAATTTGACAGGGTAAAAAGAGACTTTTGGTGCTTCACCTGAAACCAAGCCCCATCCTATTTTTCTTCTTTTAGAACTCATCCCTCCTCTAGTTACTTAGGCCAGAAACCTATATCATGTGAAGTCCTTCCTCCCCTCCCTTCTCACATCCACCAAAGCAGGTCCTGTCTAGACCCACATTTTCATCCCCACAGTGTTTGGCCTCAGCATCCAGGCCATTGCAACCTGGATCACATAGCTCCCAGTAGCCCAAATACATAGCACCAAAAGGAACCCAGGTTAAAAAAACTTCCTCTTCCCAAATTCCAAACTTTCCAGTATGACCAGCCTGACCCATAGGATCTGTGGTCACTCTATGGGTCTGCACACAAGATTCTTTTGGTTGTCCTGTTGTGAGAACAGAAGCTTCTGAAGGATAGGGACCTTGGCAGGCTATTGGCTGCTGTATTCCTTAGATCTGAAGTACAGAGGTACCAACATTTGGTAAATAAATGGAACCTCCCCATGTCCTTCCATACCAGCGTGTTCCAAAAACAACGAATACAGCTGTAGCTATAGCACAGGGGCACCAGGAAGAGAACCAAAGACTAGACCAAAGAATGGGAGGATGGTCTGGTGGTGGACTCACCCTGGTCAATGCTTCCACCCGATAGGGCATGAAGGGGGAAGGAGGCAGAGGCAGTAGTTGTTCTGGGCTGGGACCTGCCACAGTGGGAAGCTTTGAGCAAGGGGCACAAGGCAGGACCCCAGGAAGGAAAGGCCTCGTCAGGGAAGGGTGTGCAGGCTGGGCCCCATCTTGGCCCTGTTCCTGAGGCTTCTCAGGCCTAAGCAGAGAAAAGGCAGGAAGCTGATAAGGCCATGGAATCTTTCTTGGTTTCTCTGAAGATCAGGAAGGAGAGGGAGCTACCTAACATAGGACCTCCAAAACACAGGCCCCAGATGAAGGTGTAGCTGCTTTGAGTGGCCCACAACCACATAACGTACCCTTGCCCGCTGAGGGGGACACACCCCCAAGACCTTTGGCTCTGCATGGGCTCCAGCAAGAAGTGTGGGCGTCGGGGTTGCTTCCTCCCCAAGCGGGCAGTATGGCTGGAAAGAAACATGGGTCTGTACCTTGGGCAAATGGGGGCTGCCAGGGGTCTGAGGTCTCGGGGGGAGGGGGAACCAACCTCTCCAGTGTTACAGGGGAGACTGAAGGTTACATAAGACAAGGCTCTGGCCTGAGGTCAGTAAGTATGTGTGGTGACCCTGGGCCTGATAAAATTCTGTATTTTCTATGAATCCCCATGCTTCGTGCTTCACCTGCACTTCTTTTGGCTTGTGCAGGAATTCTGATGTCATGGGTGTTCTTCCACATCATAGGAGGTATAGCCTCTGACACTGAGGCTGTCAGTGTGGGGCAGAGAAGAAGGCAGAGCAGAGATGGGGACCCAGGCCCAGGTGCACTCCACTTACTCAAGATCAAGTATCTTAGGTAGCACTGGTCACTCTGGGAAGATGACAACTGCCTTAGGAGCAGTGTAGGTATAGGGTTTGGGGATACCATCCAGGGAAATGGCCAAGGGGCAGGTGCCAGTCACAAAAAGGGGTTTCTGATGGAACCAATTTCCCCACTATAAAAGAGGGGAGATTAGCAGGCCTGGTACCAGGGGAAGGGACACCCGTTTATTGAGGGAAAAAAGAAGGGTCTAGAAGCCTCTCTGTTTTCTCTCCCATGCTCTGGGAGGGATGGGATCATGATGGAAGGGAGGGGAGCTCAGCTACGACAAGGTCATTACTGGCTCATCCCTTACCCTCCCAGAGCCCAGTTTCCTCCCTCCTGTACATCCCAGCTTTTGCCCAAGGTAGACATGAGAAGGAAGAGGTATGGGTAGGCCACTCACAGCTCTAGGAGGTGGGGCTCCCTGACAGCCAGTGGTAGGCTGCCCAGGACTCCCTGAGGTTGAGGAATTGGCGGCCTCTTCGTCTCCAGGAAGGCATCCCCAGCCCCAACAGCAATGTGATTAAGAGGGGAACCCTCAAAAGTCACTCTCCTGCTGGTTATGATGGGCACAGGGGGCCGAGACTCCTTGCCCGAGCCCAGGGCCTTCTGTTTCCAGAGCTCAGCACAGTGGCAGACTGCACGGTGAAGACTGTGAGCTGCCTGCAACACAGCTTCTCATCAGTTTCTACTGTCCCCTCTCCACTGTTCAGAAGAAGGGAGCCCCACACCTACCTGGACCTGCTGCTGGGCTTGCAGCTGCTGCCGGGAGGCCTTCATGCTGGCTGTGAAACGCAGGAGCCGTGTGGCACCCTCTTGGAGGAGCTGCTGGTGGTAGGCCTGTACTGCCCGCTCTAGCCGCACCTTCTTCCTCCTCCTTTCCAGCACAAAGCCCAGCCATGCAGCCCAAGTCTTCAGGGAGGGCAACAGGTGAGGACCAGGCCTCCCTCTTAGGGCTCTCCCATGACCCAGGCAACTTGCCCCCACCCATGGCAGGAATGGCAATATGAAGAACCCCAGTTACCTTTGCCTGTAGGGAGAAGGACCAGAACCATAGGGCTCGTGCTGTACTTTGCTGTTCCTGTCTCCTGGCCACCAGCTATGGTCCAGAAAAACTGGGTTATTCAAAGGGGCCACCCTGACCACATGGCCCTGCTTTCACTTTGCCTTGCTCATCACTGTGTAACCAAGGCTTCCATTCTTCCACCAGGAAGAGCCCAACCCTGGGCCTGACTGTGAGGCACTCAACACACTCATGTCTGTAGATCAATGAATGATTCTAGGGAAGAAGGAAAGTGAAGGGCTCTCAGAGGGGAAAATGGCAGCAGCACATCCA